GGACTTTCACATCTAGTTCAGATCACATGGCATTTATGGAGCGTGTGAAGAACCTCCTGGTTGGGTTTTCAGAGCATTTGGTTTGCTATCTGTTTTACTTAAAATATGAGAACTTAGCTTCTGAGTTTCTTCACAGAGAAGTAACAATACTGGAACTATTTAGCAAAGCATCGATTTGGCTGATGAGATATGACTTTGTTTTTGAGTATCCGCGCCCAATAATGCCAAATATGGTCTATATTGGAGGCATCAACTGTGAGCAGAAGAAGCCATTATCAAAGGTTTGTCATTGTTCAGCGATTATTTAAGATTTGCTTTTTTTTTTAAGTGCTTCCTATAGTAGTATTTGTGCTGGAGGCAATATGGGATTGAATATCAGAAAGGCATGATTTAGAAGTAGGAATCTCAGGCTCTTATAGTCACAAGACTTGCACTCCGAGCAGCTGAAGAGTTTCTCCCTGGGAGGCCATAGGTGAAGTTCCCTAAGCTATGTAGCTGCCTAGGTATAGTTTAGCTTGTTGCAGGCATATCGCCGTAATATTAGACAATCATGGAACATGTGCTATAGCTAGATAAATGACAAAATAATTCTAGGTCATACAACTTAATATCCCTAACAGTTGTGGAATACCAGTTAATTGCAGGAGACTTGATTTGATGAGAAATGAACATGTGGAACTAGCTCTTTGTATATACCCAGGCACTCATAGTGTGCCATAGAGATTGATAATGCATGTGAACACTCCGAGACCCGGGATATGCAATCAGAGATGGTAGAGGGAGCTCTTTTGCCTCTGAATTTGTGTAAGAAGCAATGTAAGATAGCAAATAAGAAGATGATTAGGAAAAAAGAAGCCATCAGGATTGTAATTATCTACCTTGCCTCCCTAGCTTGTTTAAATCTCCGTAGTGGGCTATGCAAATAGAGCAGATGTCAGCTGTTTATTCTGGTTTTTGGACCACGGTGGTGTTGCAACAGCAGAAGTTATTGCTAAGCTTGCATCGCATTTACTACTGTAGATTCAGGGCTTTCACTTTGATAACTGTGACGATACAGAAACAAATCTGAAGATAAACTTTATCAACCTATTGTATATCAAATCTCTGTCAATCATTGCTTCTTGTTTAGACTCTGACAGCACAAGGTAATCCAAAGGTCAGATTTTGTTCCAAGTTTTGTGTCCAATCAGCTGAGCAGACTCAAGGCAGGGAGTTCATCATTAACTGCGTGTTAATAAGATAGTGACTGCTTGGTCAGGTGTTACCTCCCATTCATAACTGTCTCCAGCTATTCAGTGCAACACGTGGCCAATTGCTTGACACTTCTCCCTCAAGCATTGGAATCTTCTAATGTTAATTCAAGCATTCAGTTTTACCTTGCAGCACCCAGTTGCTAAAAACCTTCTCTGTGTGCACAGATGATAAACCGAACCTTTACCCACAGTTAAAAATTACCCTAATTTCTGCCCACAAACATACAATCCGTTAAAAATTAAACACTTAACTTTAGTTAAGATTAAAGTGCAAAGTACCTCACGATTCACTCGTCCCCTGCAGTAGTTTTTTGCAGCCGTTTAAAACTTTGCTGACAGCACAAGGAAAATGGCTTCTTCAAATCCAGGATTTAATGCTCTTGCCTCCTGGGTTGTGGTTTTCCTGCTCCTGTGGACCTTTTCTGAAGGTGGAAAGCTTTTGGTTGTACCTATCGATGGCAGCCACTGGCTCAGCATGCGCCCGGTTGTGGAGCGGCTCAGACAGAAGGGACATGAAATCGTGGTGGTTGCGCCCGAGATAAATTTGCGGATCAATTCGTCGGTGCATTATACCATGAAAACATACTCCGTGCCTTACACCAAGGAGTATGTGGAGACAGAATTTAAAAAGCTGGGCTATAGGAGTTTCACACCTCAGCCTTTCTTGGAAAAATTCTCAAAAATGGCAAATATTACAACCATGTTCTTTGATTCCTGCAGACGTCTTCTGTCTAACAAAGAGCTGGTCAAATACCTTGAAGAGAGAAAATTTGATGCTGTCTTTATGGATCCTTTTTTTCCATGTGGACAGATAGTGGCTGAACATCTCTCCCTACCTTCTGTGTACCTCGTACGGGGACTGCCATGCAGTCTAGAGTTCCACGCTACCCTCTGTCCAAATCCTCCTTCTTACATTCCTAGGTTCTTCACTCGCTACACGGACCGCATGGCATTCCTCCAGCGCGTGGGCAATCTCATAGCTAGCCTAAGCAGTTCCCTGGCTTGCAGCTTTCTTTATTCACCATATGATCATTTGATCAAAGAATTCCTCCAACGAGAGGCAACAGTGCTTGAGCTGTTCAGCCACGCGTCTATTTGGCTCATGAAATATGACTTTGTGTTTGAGTACCCCAGGCCCTTAATGCCTAATATGGTCTTGATCGGAGGTGTAAGCTGCACTCAGGAAAAAGCATTATCACAGGTTAGTTACCTTTATTTTTCCTAGTTTAGCTGTGGCTGCAGTGTTGGCTCTCACCATGAGATGGAGCTCCTGGCAGCATTAAAGAATAACAGATGAAAGAGCAAGGTAGAAGTGGCTAAGGAAGCACTTTGCAGCTCTGCGTGCATCCCTTGTGCATGGAGGAGTACATTACTTTGTGGGAGACCTCCAGATTCCCAGACAAGCAGGCATACAAAGCTGGGCTTTTCCAGTTCCCACCCCCCCCCCCGGTATTTCCTGGCTGCTTATTTCCAGTAATTTTGTTTTGTATACCTGCTTACAAGACTTGGTGCAAGCTAGAGTAATGCAGCAGGCCAAATCTTCTTAGTCCCCTGCTCAAGGGAAGAGGACCATTTCTGCAAGAATTTCAAACACTGGCAGACCCAGATGAAATCCCCACCACCCAGTGAAGCAGCAAGAGATCTGCTTCTTCTGTGTAAAGTACTTTGTACCAGATCTGGGCTGCAACTGTATTTTGGTTGAACTATGCCAAGCTTCCTGAATATGGGATGCCTGTCACTTTCCACGAAGAAATCCTCCTAATTCTTAGTGCCTTCTCTTATTTTCCAGTGAGTGTCTACTGTGGGTAATTCATAAAGGTCCCACTGATACAAGCAGCTGGTTGTTAAAAAGACTTTAGTAAAACCACAGAATCACGGAATGGTTTGGGTTGGAAGGGACCTTAAAGATGATCTGGTTCCAACCCCCCTGCCCCGGGCAGGGCCCCCTTCCCCCAGCCCAGGGGGCTCCCAGCCCCGTCCAACCTGGCCTTGAACCCTTCCAGGGAGGGGGCACCCACAGCTGCTCTGGGCACCCTGGGCCAGCCCCTCACCCCCCGCACAGGGAACAATTTCTGCCTTAGATCTCATCTAAATCTGCCCTCTGACAGTTTAAAACCGTCACCCCTTGTCCCATTCCCACCCCCTGACCCAGAGTCCCCCCCCACCTCCCCTGTCCCCCCTTTAAGCCCTGGGAGGCCGCTCGAAGGGCTCCCCGGCCCCTTCTCTTCTCCAGGCTGAACCCCCCCAACTCTCTCAGCCCGGCCCCCCAGGGGAGCTGCTCCAGCCCCCCCAGCATCTCCGTGGCCTCCTCTGGCCCCGCTCGAGCAGCTCTGCGTCTTAATGCTACGCACCTATTCCAAAGGAAGGACTGCAAATAGTGGTTTCATAATCGCAGTGGCATTTCTAAGCAGAAAGTCAGACCTTGGCACAGAAAAACTTTTAAAGAACAGAGTAAAACTGTTGTGACTGGTCCCACAGAAAATAAATAGGGCTAAATACATCCCAAAATAGCCGTATCTGTTCCACTGCATCAGGAACTGCAGATGAATTTTGTACCAAAAGCACATTTGTAGTTTGGGAAGGATTTTGCTGTTGCCAGATGTCTGTGAGTTTGTACAGAACTGAGCCCCGAGTTCCCAACCAGATATCTACGACACCTTAATAGAGAACATTTCTTCAGAGAAATCTGGTAAGACAGAACCAAGTCCTGAAATGAGTTGCGTTTCACCTTGTTTGCCCCCAGGAGAGGATCAGGTCTGCCGTCCAGTGTGCAACTATCAGCAGACCTTCGCTGGGTCCTTCTATTTGGGATCCAGTCCAAGCGAAGGGCCGTGGCACTCTGGTCAGCCACGAAAATAGGTAACAGAGCGTAAACTAAGAGGGTCAGTCTTGGTTATCCCCTCAGACCCTAGAAACAACATTTCAATTGTCAGACTTACAGAAACGTTTAGTTCATTTTATTCCACTCATTTAACTCTGCCCGCAGCAATTCCCTCCAGTTTTGTCTTTCCTTCCCTGGCTTTACCAAATATTTTTCTATGGCACAGGACTTTTTCTCCAGCCTTCAGCTGTTTTTATGCTTCATCGGAATCCTTTTGTTCTTGGATTCCAGTGACAGATCTCCTAGTCCTTCTTTTATTTAAATCAAACAAACAAAACAGATAAAAAAACCCTGGCAGTGGTTCAATATTCTCATAGTCGAAGCAGACCCAATAAATCGAGATATTAGAAATTAGAGACATCTGCTGTCAGAACACTTCAAAATCTTAATTCGCTTTTGCAGCTGCATAGTTTGAAAAGAAAAGCATCAACTCTAAAGCAGCCGACTTGCAATAAATGTGAAAATAAACCACGATGTATTCACCTGGGGGTTGGTTGCCAGGAAAAGTACGATGATGAATTTGAATTTGGTACAGCATCTTTTTCACCGTGCAGAAACTGATGTCTTTGAGCAAGCAGGCTTTACTACGTGACTGTTTAAAAGTAAATTTTTTCTCCTGTCCATACCGAATATCAGTTTGGGCTTCAATTCTGCAAACACTCATGCACCTCCATAACTTGGTTCATCCACCTGTGCCCATTTTTCTCCCCTGGCACTCGTTTTCATCCAGATAACTAATTTTCCTGATCATTATTTTGTTGTGTTAACTGTTCATTTTACTGCCTTTCCAGATAGTTTTGTGGGAACGTGACGGAAGTTACAGCATATGACATGGAAGTGACTAAGCCTATGCTTTGTGTTGGCAGGAATTTGAAGACATTGTGAATGCCTCTGGAGAACACGGCATTGTTGTCTTCTCGCTGGGCTCCATGGTCTCTGAGATTCCTATGAAGAAAGCCACAGAAATCGCAGATGCCTTGGGATCAGTCCCCCAAACGGTATGGTTTCCCTCTTCTCTTTCCAGCACAGCAATTCAGGACTGTTTTCAAATACAGCATATGATCACCTTCGGCTTTCGGTGTGTTTGGTCCTCCCTTCTTTCTCCTGCTCCCTGATGCCAGAAGAAACTAGCACCCCAGCTGTTCTGCACAGTGAAACAGCTTTTGTGCACCACAGATGTTTTTAGCTGTGCTTTTCAAACCCACTGAGGAGCAGCAAGAGGCCAGTTGCTGAGAGATGACGTTGTGTTTACTTCTCTTGAAAGGTTTTGTGGCGATACACGGGACAGGCACCCCCCAACCTGCCGAAAAACGTAAAGCTTGTCAAGTGGCTGCCACAGAATGATCTTCTAGGTAGGTCTGAGATACCTTGAGCAATACCAGCATTTTTTTTTTTTTTTTTTTTAATCCAAAGCTGCTGTTGTAAGGCCCCATTAGCACCATCTGTGCTGACTCCCTGCATCACTGTGGGCCACAGGACTTCCTTACAGTCTTTGCTGTTTGAACAGAGTTCATCTTTTAGAAACTTACCTGACTTCTACTTCAAAATTGCTGAATTGTGAAACAACTCTGCTTGGAAAGGTGTTCCAACACTTGACTACCCTTACTGTCAAAAATGGGGGTCTTTATCTCTGACTAGCTAGTCTTTACACCCAGCCATGGGGTTTTGTCATGTTTTTGTCTACTGGACCGAAAAGAAAATTTAAGGTCCCCAAGTGAGCATTTCCAGACAGGTCATCAGGCTTTTCAAGTGGTAAAATTGTACATGCTACTGCCAGGAGTGCATTTATTGATTAGATAACAGGGATCGGCTGCGGAAGATCTGCAAAACCAGCAAATGGAAGACATGGTAAAAAGGTAAGCAATGGTAACATCCTCTTCAACCTGACTTGGCTGTGATTTCATCCTAAATTCTGAGAAGCTTTGGAGAATTATGCAAAGCTTTCCAGAGATTACCCAAAGCAAGACAGTGCTCTGCAACTCAAGGTTCGTTCCATCCCCTGTGATGTCCTGTTCCCTGCAGTAAGTAATGATGCACGTGACAGCCCAAAGTTCTTGATTTATACCTACCAGCGCCATTTATGCGCAGGTTTTTCCCCAGGGATGTGTTACTACGACTTAACGAATCAAATAGCTGAGCAAGTCTTTCTTTCCTCCACAGCTCACCCTAAGACTCGTGCCTTTATTACCCACGGAGGCTCACACGGTGTTTACGAGGGCATATGCAATGCGGTGCCCATGGTACTAATGCCTTTATTTGGAGACCAGATGGACAACGCCAAGCGAGTAGAGTCCCGGGGAGCGGGACTGACGCTGAATATACTCGAGATGACTTCGAAGGACATATCCACTGCCCTGAAAGCGGTTATTAACGATAAAAAGTCAGTAATAGAAGCACAGCCTTCCTCCTTCTACTGTTGTGTAACGCCAGCACTCTAGCTTCCAGTTTAACAGAATACTAATCTGTTCTTAAACGCCTTCTTATATCAAAGTTACATCACTGAGAAGCTAATGCTTGCCATGGGTTAACCTCGTCCTCTTCCTTGTGGCAGCGCCGTCCTTCTCACTGCCTGGGATTATAATCGTTAGGTGACAAGAACTGGCTGATAGGAGAGGATGCAGATATCAGAGAAGTTGGGGTATAAGTGCAATGGAAGAAATCAAGTTGACAAAAGATGTGCCACCTGCTGAAAGCCAAATTTACCAGGCAGTGACGTTGAGGGCTTTGACACAATGTCATGGATGAGGCAATCGGTGAAGGGAGATGTGGCAAACTGCTTTTGCTCCCCAAATCAGTGGTGACAAGAATCAGTGGGGAGACTGAAAAGGTTAAAAGGCTCAGCTGCCTGGGTGATTTTCTTCGTATGAGGGTTGCCCAGAGCTGCTGTCTGCACAGCAGCAGGAGGAGGGAGACAAGTGGCAGTGTCTCAGGATGGTTCAGAGGCTGTAGCGCATCAGGAAGCATTGCCTCCCACCTGGTGGGGTTTACTAAACGTAGCTGTTATCACTCATTTATTTTACAGATTAGTTTTCTCAGTTATTTTTCTCCCCCTTTAGTGCTCATAAGGAGCTGTATGAGCACAGTCAGCTGCTGCCCTGGCTCAGAAAGGCTGGACAATTCCAGCCCAGAGCAGGATGAACATGCAGGTGTATGCTGAGGCAGTACAGGCACCCACACTAGACATCACAGTATTGCAGTCACCATGCCCGAGGTGGTTGAAGGTGTCACAGCAAAGGGGAGCTTTAAGACATACCCTCCTCTTCTCCCTCCCATTCTTTGTTGTCATTAGGGCTTCTCAGTCCTTAGCATCTTCTTCCCCATCACGTTTCTGAGAAATGGCACCTTAGAGCCATTGTTTCCTAATCACTGTTCTTAGAGCAATAATAACAACAACAGTAATAATGATAAGAAGAATGCATCTTGATCTTGAAAAGCTGGATGGCTTTTCTACACCCAGTCTCACATTTCCGCCAGGTACCTTCACCCCAGAGATTTTGCTGACAGCTCAAACTAAGCTCTTTCTTTTTCTTCTTTTCTAATACCTTTCCCTCTTTTTTGGTCATTGAAAACAGCACTTTTCTCGGCCCGTAACTTTGCCATTATCGTTCTCATGGAGGGGTGGTGGTGGGGAAACCCCATCAGAGAAGCCTCCGGTGAGCCATCAGACACCTGACACTGCATCCCTTTTTTTCTGGGGACTCAGTCTCAGAAGCACAAGTCACTGAAAACACCCAACAACTTTTCTTGACAGGTACAAAGAGAACATCAAGCGTCTCTCAGAACTTCACCTCGACAGACCCATCCACCCCCTGGACCTGGCTGTGCACTGGGTGGAGTTTGTAATGAGACACAAAGGGGCCCCACACCTGCGACCCGCTGCTCATGACCTGAACTGGATCCAGTACCACTCCCTGGATGTCATCGCCTTCCTCCTCGCTGTGGTGCTCGTCTCCCTCTTCATTTCTCTGAAGTGCTGCCTGTTCTGCTGCCGCAGGTGCTGCTGTAAGAAGGGAAGAACAAGAAAGCCAACCAAATCAAAGTCTCATTAGCAGATGCAACCGGCGGTAGGAGATAAGGCCTCTGCTCCAGACCAGAAGGATCAGAGAACATCTCAGATTTCACTAAAATAATTGCTGACTTTCAGTCAAGAAATAGTCGCATTCCTTTAAACTAGCACCATGGGAGGGATTGTTTCACTGATTTAATTTTTGCCTTTAATTAAGAATCACTTGTTAAAAATAGTTTGTATAGGAGTGCTTCAGTCACTTGGGAAGATATTAGTGTGAAGTCCAAGGCTCCTGGCTTCCATGTCTTGGTGTACAAAGGACTCGCTGTGACATTTTTTATTTTTTTTTTTTTTTACCTCTATATGCAATGGAGATGTATAAGACTTTGCTCCAAGGGCTTTAAGAGAACCATTTGCTCTAGTGTGAGACTCTCGGGTTTATCAAGCGCTTTGAAATCCTCACATAGCTGTTGTCATCGAAGAGGCAAATGTTACACACTGACAATATGTGTCACATAAGCCAAGCTAGACGCACATCTTGAATGGGTTCTGTGTGCCCGCGCAATACCCTGAACAAAATTAAGGTTTCAGCAGGGAAATGGTTGTAAAGCCACTGGTGTTTCACCCAAGTTTCCCCATCAGGCAGAGTTCTGTATCTGGAGCTTACCTTGTTAGGTGATGAGACCTTTGTAAGCGATGGTTATAAAACCCCACTGATTTGCTCTTTGTACATGATGTTCAGGTAAAGACCATAACCCCAGTCCTAGAAATAAAACCCCAATACTAACAATAATGGCTCTTGTGTTTTCTGACTTGAGAGATATGGGGCTGGACCCTTATTCGATCATGGAGAGAGAGCTGGAGAAGGGAAAGGCTCAGCACCCCACGGTGTGTGAAAGCCACCTCAGTGCACAAAAGCCATTTCTCAAGCATTACTTTCTCACTCCTTGATGACTTGCTCCGTGCTGAGAGGTCACGTCCCGAGGCTGCCTCCAGTCCCCACTACTACGTGTAGAAAAAGTCAGAGAAGACCTTAAACATAAGTTAATATTCAGGGCTCAAAATAGCCTGGGGCATCCGGGTATGTCGTGACATTACAGGCACCCTGCTGAGTACCCAACGCTGTTATTTTCTATTGCTGTTTGAAAAACTTCAGTGAAAGCTGTTAAGTTCAAGAAGACAGTCCCTCTCCTCCTCCTCCTCAGCCTGTCCCCTTTGCCATGCCTGATTCTCAGGGGCATCCACGCCACTTGCAACCTGCCCAAGATCGATGCCAACTGTTGCTTTGCATCCCCTGCCTTTCCCTCCTCTCCTCCCGCCCCCTGTAAACAGAAAGGAAACCCCTCTTTGGGACACACACAGAGAGTCCCCACGGTGCCTAAGAGCTGACCTGCTCTTAAAACGCAGCTCCTCGTGTTCCTGAAGTGACCGTTCTGCCTGTCCCCACGGTCCCGACTGGAGCCAGGTGGCAGCAGCACATCTGCACCTCTAGGAACGAGACCCGGTGAGACCTTGCAGTGCCCATCTCAGCACCACCAGCGGTGCTTTCAGTCGCCGCCAAGCATGGGGCTGGCTTCCAGCAGCTGCCTGATGCAAAAAACACTTCAAAAATGTCCTCACCGAGAAGTTATACTGCTGCCAACAGGCTCAGGATCGATCCAGTGACTTTCTCTGCATGGACAAGAGAAAAACCCCTAGATCTTGATTTCGGATCAGATGAACAGAACTAAAAAAAAATTCCTGATTGCAGCTGTTTGTTTTGTTTTGTTTTTTTTTTCCAACTTAAAACCTTTTGTGCAGGTGAAAAAAGAGGAGCTGTGAGAAAGGGAGGAAAAATCAAAATGCCCATCCCAGGGCTTTCATTTCATTTTGGAAAGATCTTTTAACAGCCGAAGCAAAAAAGCAGCAGAAACCAGGTCTCCTCCTCCTCTCCTTTTCCCTTTGCTCTCCTTAGCCTCGACTACTTTGTCACACTCTTTATTTACCCTTGGCTCACTGGAGAAGCGAGGAGGGGAGTGGAGCCTTCGGGGACGCACGGGTCCGGGACTGGACAACCATCACATCGTGCCCAGCAGAGGACACTACGATATCGCTAGCAGGAGGGAGCAAGGAACAGGCTGTCTGGATTTCCCCAATCGATCAAAATTCAGATTTTTCCTTTCGACCAAGCCAGCCCAGCTCGGTCGCTGGAAGTTGACAACGACTTGTTTATCCGCCTGTGCTCTGGGAATACGGACCCTGCGGCACGGAGGTGATTTTCAGAGGGAATTAGGGGCTGAACTGCGTGAGACAAGGAGCTTCAGTGCAGAGAAGGGAGCCGGAGGGGCTGCAGCATCCTCACAACACAGCTTTCCCAACCCTTCTCAAGGGAAAAGTTACGCTGGGGATGCTGTCCCCATTAATTGCCCCTTAATTGGGTGCCATATGGAGCCATGCTGCCCCTTAAGCAGGGCAGAGAACCCCAAGCCATCCTTTACTGGGAGAAGGAGAAATCACCAGCCACGATGTATTTCTAAGCAAGAGAGAGTTGAAAATGGGTCACTTCCCAGAAGGGGAAACTGAGGCACAGGCTCCGCATCGCCCCAGGGCTGCAGGCCCTGCAGCCTGAGCTCTTCCAGCAAACCCTTCAAAACCTGTGTTCTTAAACTCCTGCCAAAAGACAGTGGCCAAAATCCCTTTGCTGCCCTTAGAGAAAGGAGGTACAAACACCTCCCGCCTCCAGCAGCTTCTCAGCATCGCCGAGTACTTGCGTGGCTCCCCTTCGGGGCGGCGAAAAGAGAGGAGAGCTCTTTCTTTCCGCTCCCACCCAGGGACTTTTTTAGAGTTTATTTTATTTTTGCCTGGATTTTGATACCCAGGCTTGCGATGGCAAGGTTGGGAAAAAAAAAAAAAAAAAGGCCAGTGCAAGCCAGTGCTGTTCCTGTTTTTTCTGGTGACCCTCAGACCCTCCTGGCTGCAAAAGATGTGTGAAAGCCTCTTTGGCTTCGGGGTGGGGGGCACCCTGGGGGACACAGCAGCCCTGGCTCTGGTGGGAGGATGCAGTCAGCATCTCTCGCTGCTTCCCACCAGCTGGACCGCGGGAAATGACAGGAATTGCTGACATTTTTCTGCAGCCACAGGGTTTCTGCAGCTTCACCCCAGCCCTCCCATCCCCAAGGGTAACACTGAGGTTTTTCGGCTGCTGTGGGAGCCCCAGGCAGCTGTGAGGCTCCTCCACCTCCCAGATGAGCGGGTCTGAGAAGACCCTGGGCTCACAAGGACATGGCACTCAGAAGGCCCCCCTTGCAAGACACGCTGAGAAGTTAAATATTCTCGTTATTCAAGGGCAGAGCAAGAAACAGCAGCGACCTGCAGACGAGCACACTCTCCTCCTCCCCTGCGCAGGGCTCCCAGGGCCAGACACCCGCAGAGGGGTCCCGGTGCTGCTTTACCCTGTGAGCTCTCACTTGGATGCTCACACTCAGACCTGCAATTATTTAACTTGTTTGGGTTTTGTTTTAAAACAAGTTTAAAAAAAAAAAAAAAAAATCTATCTTTTGGGTAAGATTGCTTTTTGAAAGGGAAAAACTGCTTTTTTAAAATGTAAATACTGCTTTTTAAAAAGGAAATACTGCTGCCAGCCATGACTCCAATTTGGGGTGGGGGGGGTGGTTCACAGAGGAGGTCCCAAGCCTCTTTTCAGTCTTGTTTCCTACTGTGGGAAAGCACTGAAAGTTCGAGATAAGCAAGTGCAATGTGTGTGTGCCCACTTCCCTTAGCAGCGTGGATGCAGGATGCCGACCTGCCAGGAGCAGCACTGGCCTCATTTAAAAAAAAAAAAAATAAAACAACAAACAAACAAACAAAAAAAAAGGCAAAAAAAAACATCCCAAAAGGCTGTGCAGCTGCAAACGAGGTTGCTTTGGGATTGCAGGTGCGATGAGGGCGATGGCCCAGCTCCCTGCCCTCCTCCCTGAACGCCTGGGGAGCAGCGCAGGGGTGATGCCGGGGGGCAGCACCACGCAGTCCCCCGTCGTCATCCCCCCCCCCAGAAGCAGCTGGGGTTCTCCCAAGACCTGCCTTGGCCCCTGCAACCTTCTCCAGAGCTGTCTCTGCAGCACCCCAGTGGGCCTGGCGCTTGGTACTGGAGATGTCCCACCCCAGTACACGCCGCATGTCGGCCAGCTCCCGTCCCCAGCGCTGCCCGGAGGATGGCGGGGAGCCGGCACTAAGCAAACCAGGTACCTTCAGCTGGAGTGGGCACGCAGCTCTCCAATTAATTATCACCCGCAGAGGTGGGGTTTTTTAGGAGTTATTTCTAGGTGAGCGTGATGAAACCTGGGGAAAAGCCATTGTCAAAGTGAACCAGGCACAAAATGCAGGACAGCCTCTCCCTCCCGGGGAGCAATGTGCCCTGCTGAATCCAGAGAGGGAGTAAACTGCTCTGGCTTCAGCATTTAAGCTCAGGGAGCCAGGTTAAACCCACGTGGCAGCCGGGCTCGGCCCATGACCCTGCTGCTGCCAGTGTCGCGGGCTGCTGGGGCTGAACCAGGCTGACGAGGGAAACAGGAGATGAAATCTCCATCTGCAAGCATTTCCTCGCTGTGTGAGGACGCCGGTATTCCCGGGAGAGGTGATGCTGCCCCCGAGCTCAGCTTTCCCAGGGTGAACTCCTGCCCTGCCTACGGCGGGTGTCACGTCTCACACTAACCCGTCACAAAAAAAGCTGCTGCCGTGGAATTCGGCTTTGACAGGTACCAGCAAGGGCTCCCGGCATCGATTCCTTTTCTATTAAGGATGGGTGAAAGGTTTCACACGCCACAGCCGATTGCTTGGGATGATAAAAGCAAGTCAGCAGCACGGGCTGTTCAAGCATCAGCAAATCCTAAATCCCCCCCCAACCAGATATTGGCTGGCTTATCCAACCACGCGACCTGTCTTCAAAAGCCAGCCTGAGCAAATGGAGCAAATTTCTTCCCTGCAATGCTACCAGCCGAGGTTATCTTGGGGGGGGGGGGGGGGGGGGGGGGTGGACGGGAAACATGGCCCCGGCTTTGCTGGGGCAGATCCAAGCAAGTTGCATCTGTTACCAAGCCTCCCTCTCTCCCTGGCTCGTCGCCTGCTCCCAGCCAGGGACCAGACCGCATCCCAGGGACTCGCTTTGTGCCCGCCAAGACTTCGCAAAGCGTCTGCTGGAAGTTTTAATTAACGTTCAGCAGGGGGTAATCAAAGCAGGGCAGGAACCCAAGGTTTGTTATCTTCCGGCAAGCTGCTGAAGAGACGGTGAGGCCGTCCTTTGAGGCTTGGGACTCAAATGGTTGGTCTGAGCTCCTTGGGAGGGGGGGGTCCGAGGTGGTTTCAGCAGACCACGAGGGACCCTGCGGGATGGATTCGGTGATGGGGTGGGGAAGGCAGGGGAAACCACAACCAGTTGGCGCTCCTGACATCCAGCGAGTCTATTAAATGGCAACAAAAATAACACATTCATCTCCCCAGACAGAGGCTCCTTCCCTTTTCACAGAAAAAGTCCAACCCCAAAGCAAGCAGCCAGTCACCCTTTGCAGAACTGGCTGCCTGATGAGTGGAGCTTGCTCCTCTTTTGGCTAGGCTTCCCTGCACACAGCCTTTGCGAAAAACCTGACTTAATATTCTGCTTTTTTCCCCCCCACCCATTATAATAGAAGAGCCCAAAGGTGTCATTTGTTGCTTGGAAGTCCCCGAATTTCACTGGGGGATTAAGCCTGATGAGCTGCAGAGGCAAGCCCCAGGGGATGCTTCATGTAAAGTCTGTTCTCCAAAAAAGAGGGCTTTCAA